ATGTTTGAGACGAATTAAGTTAGTGAGCTCAATCACCAAAATTCAACATTTTAAACTTTCGTGAACAATCGAAGACATAAATATAATTTCAATAATCATTGGAACAATTAACTCAGCTAAACGTCGTAAGAACTTACCTTAAAGAACAAAATTCAACTAGCAAATTTTATGTCCAATGTTAGTTTTAAAAGTGGAAATTTTACTATTCAACTCGAACTAGTCACCGTACATTAAATCGCGTCAACACGCATGAATCATATGATTCATTTGGCGGCATCCACTAGGTAAAAAATATGTATCTCTTTAATCCATAAATAAATAATTTATATACATCTTTTAAATCTTTTCTATCGCTTTTCCTCTTCATTATATTCTGATGAGTTCATAGCAGTCTCATTCTTGTACATCCATTCTTCAGGTAAATAATTCTGGTCGATTTTGCTTCTTTTTTGGTTTAAATTCTTATTCGGTTTTATAGATTAACTGTTTGGTTTTTTATTTCTTGATTCTTGGGTTTACCTGCCGAATATAAAAGCCTAGACTTGGATTTTGAATTTTTTTTCCTCCTTTTATTTCTTGAATTTGATTTTTTTTTTTTTCGGCTTACTGGGTTTCTCATTTTTCCAAATAGACGACGGGCTGAAATTTAGTTTTCACTTTCATTTGCATGAACTTTTTTTTTACAGATGAATTTTGGGTTCGTTGGAATTTTATTTAGAGATTCGATTTTTTTGTCCCCCTGCATTAAGAGCTCAAGAGAAGAACTCTTAATTACTTCAGTTCGGGTTCTTTTGCTGTCTTTAAATTTATATCTATTTTCTGTTGGAATTTTGGAGTTTATACTTATTATGGGTGAAAGAGATATTCTTAGAAATAAATTTTAATTTTGCATTGTAGCATGTAATTATAGGAGCTTCGAAATAAAATAAATAAAACAAAATAAAATAAAAGTCATTTAATTTTATGTAATAACTTGGAAGGAAGGTCATAATTTATGTACCGTTAAGAAATCAAAAGCTCTATACTGATAGAAATAACCATTAGCCATGTGATTTCAGTAGTTGCTCAGGTTTCTTCTTTTTTCCGTTCCTTTTTTTTTTTTTTTTTAATTTAGTTTTGGTTTTGTAGGGTGAATTTTTTATTTTTACTTTTTTTTGTTGGGGGGGGGGGGGGGGGGGGNNNTTTTTGTTGGGTGGGGGGGGGGGGGGGGGGGGGGGAAGTTAATTTTAGTACAATACATGAACCTATGTAGATCCTCCATTTCATTCAATGGTTATGTTTTGTGCATTAATCTTTGCAAGATTAAGTTCTTAGGTTTGAATGTTGGTCCAGTTAAAGCTACCTACTGATTTTAAACATGTATTCAGATTCTCAGGGATGAATATGCAAACTACCTTTGCAAAATTCCCCACCAGAACCTCGTTGTGTTGCCCAATAAGAGAACAAGAGAATTGAGCATGAATCCAATTCAAACAACTATGGTTCATGGCTGATCCATTGAACGAAGTCGTGATAATATTTATTAACTCACGACGACCCCATTGTAGTTACCTTTTTATTATCTTTGTACGTGGATAACTAAGATTAAGTGTCTTATTAGTTGTTGAGTGTGGAAATGACTCCAATGTCGGCTTCTAGAGTCATGGTGCTCTGCAAGAGAGATAAGTTGATGCAAAGAGAATAAGAACATTGTTGATCTTGTGGTCATGGTTTCATTTTGTTCTTTAGAAGATCTACCTTTCGCTGTTACTGCAATAAATCTGGAATTTGTCTTGACTGGACCTTGGGGATTTTGTTGAGTTCATATGCCGAAGGATTTCTGCATAAGCGCCCACATCTCGTATAAATATGTTGTTGGGGTGTTACATGCCCTTTTGGACATTGATACCAAGCCAAACTCAAATCATTAAATACGTTGATCAAGTAGGAATATTTTGGAAAGTAGTTAATCAAAATCTTTGCTGGCAACTGTGTTGATGGAATGCATATTTCATGACAGGTTTAGTATCCAGATTATTTAAGAGGTTGGGGCCCATATAGGTTACATTTGAATATCTTTTTGTCACAGGACTAAGAGTTGATTGATATAATTTGGTCTGTCTTTGATCTATGGAGAAGAATGCCTTGTTGTAAACATAAGAAATGGGCTTCTTACCATAATTAGAATTCATGCTGAGATGATTAGTTGCTGCTCGGGTTGGCTTGTAAGGTGAATGGTTTCAGTTGTGTTAGTATACGAATGACTCTTTGATCTATCTTGATTAAAAATGTAGTGCACTTATTCTGCCCCGTCCTAGCTTGAAATAATACTCTCCTACGGCTAAGCGCTGGTGTTTGATGTACATTTCACTCAGCCTGCTGAAAACATGTCAGACACATAGAGATGTATTTGAAGTTATTTTAAGTTATCTAAATTTGGATTTGCGAAGGACAAGAAGATGAATGCTTGACTGGCGCAAACACTTCTCAAGTCAATATATTGACTGAGATACAAAAGTATAACATACGTGGATTCAGAAACAGAAATCCAAATTGGATAGCTAAATCAGTAAAGGGAGAAGTATTTAAAGTATATCTATTGGTCATAGGTCAGCTACCTATATAAATTTCGTAGAACTTCAAGAAAGATGAAATTTGATGTCTTAAGCTTTTAAATGTTAATTGTTCCTTGATCCTAGAAAAATAAAACTACCACAAGTTTCTTTCTTTTATCTTGTTATATGTATATCCAAGTCTTGGTTCTATGTTGAGATAGCATTATTCATAAAAATTCTTGAGACAACTGTGATCCTCTATAGATTCCATTATCTTCAATAAGCCCCCGTTTGGCCCCCCATTATTTGGATTTATAGTGGGGGTAATAGTGTTTTTTTGAAAAATTGATGGATGTAAAAGGATGATTTTTTTTTGATTTGCGTGTAATATTATTTTATTGAAAATTGTGTGATTGAAAATAGGAGAGAAATAAATTTAAATTAAATTGACGTGTCTTAATGTGGGCTAAACGGGGGCTAAAAGTTACTAAATTCAAGTACCTTAAAAGGTTTCTCTTTGCAATAATGTTCTTCTATTTTGATTCCACGGTCATCGCTATTTTACTATATGATTATAAACCTTCATATTTCAAATTCTTCCCTCAAAGTTCCACCGCACAATTTATTTTCTTCCTAGTCTAATCACTCTAGCAGTATTACTGTCAGTAACGACATACTGAGGGATCTCACCTTGAATATCTCTTGTATGATCATTCACAACTAAATCAAAAGGATGAGGACATAGATCAGCACTTCAATCCAAACCTATTGTAATAGGAAATTTCCAATTACTACCCTCACTAGAGGTTCAGTTGAGTGTTTCCTCATGCATTCTTATCAAAACTCCATAGAAAACCCTATCCTAAGTTTGTTTCTATATCAATAGAACTATATGTCAATTTTTTATTCATTTCTATGTACTTGCCAATTATTCTTCCAAGTAAATAATCTTATAGTAAATCTCTCTGGCATAAAACCAAACTATTTGTGTGACCTTCTAATAAAATGTTGTGTCGAAGTATTTCAAAAGATGCCTAATATCCACAATATGCTTCCCATTAAATGGTAAAGGCTCTAGATGGCTATTTTGGGCCTTAAAATGTCTTTAAAGGATCTTGGATTTTATTTCCGAAAATGAAATCTATCTTTATGGATTATATGCTTTTCTTTGAGCTTTTTATTGTACACACCATTCCTCGAAGCTAATTCTCTGCCTCGTTTCTGCTTACGCCAGCACACATTGAATAAAGTGATGGAATATTAGATGAGACATTATTATATCATTATATGTAGTGTTCAATTTTGATGCATATTTTAGGAAATATAATTAGAGTATGATTTAATAGCTTTTATAGCTTACCTAGAATAGGATCTTTTGAAACCCTATATAAAAGATCTTTTTGGCTTTGTAATAAAAACAATCTTGATAATGAATATTGATATCCACCCCCACCCCCCGGGTTTCTCTCCCTCTCCTTTCTCTTCTTCTCTTCCCTTTCCTCTTCTCCTATAATTCTTCCATAGTGTTTTGCATCAAAAAGGCAAATCGTGCAAAGCACCATGCAATAATTTGAATCTCACGAGGCGCTTGATTTAGTCACCTTGGTTAGATATAACCACTTTATTGTAATACCATATCCTTGTTTGCTTCATTATATGATTTAATGTTTCTTTTGTTTATGAACCTGAAATCATTTTGTAAATCTGTGTAGAGAAAAGATAAAGATATGAAGTGCCCATTATTCTAGTTGTGTGGCTTGTAACCTTACGATTTCACACTTTTCATCTTTCATTTTTTCTAACTGTTAACCCCTCCGTCCTTAATTGTATATGATATTTTGAGTTGGCACTGGATTTTACGTGGAAGCTGAAAAGGTGAGAATTTGTTGTACCTTCTTCTTTTCGTCCTCAAACTAATTGCCAAGAAGTTTTGTCAATCATGTCGTGGAATGAAATAGGAACATTTAATCATGCATAGAGGAAATATTGAAGAAAATAAGATCTGTTCTTCTCTTACTTTTATTCGAATCCTGTGAGTTTTGTTCTCCTCCATTACAATTTTATCGTCACTGTTTGGCATCTCCACATCATAGTCCAGTAACATTATTCAATATGAAGCCTCCATTTGGATAAAATTTATAAATTTTTTATAAATTCAGTCAAACTCAAAACATTTATTTCATACACATAACTACTATTCATTCTTATCTACACATTTCAAGGACCCACTACTATTCCTCTTTATAAATTTACCAAATAGAGGCTAAATAAACAGCTTCCCTCTTCTTTCATTTATTTATTTTATTTTTATTATTATTATTATTTTTTTTTTTTGAAGTTTTGTAATTTTGCTACCCAATTTATGTAATTTTGCTTCCAAATAAAGGTATGAAGTAAGGTACCTTTTTCTTTCTTCTCCTATGCTGTTTAGTTTATGTAATAGAATAATTAATTTAATTGGAATTCAAAAGTAAGTATTTTGAATTTTGAAAATAACTATTCGTTTTCTTATTGTTTAAATCAAGAATGAATTCTTGCCCATAGATACTATGCTTCTCTATTTAAGCTCGTTAAACTAATGATATTTCGACTTTGAATTGGTGTCTATTTAGGCCTTTCTTCTTTCTTTATGTAGTTTGAAATCTTTTTCTGTGACTATTAACCCTGAACTTGATGCAACCTACAAAAAGTAGACATATGTGGCAGTTAGGGAGCATCCTGAAGTATAAAGTAAATTCCATTCTCGGTCAAACACGTTATTAGTTTCCTCTCTAGCACTAGTATTTGTGTTATACAAGGGGGTGTAATGAAAAAAAAAATTGATTCTGGATTGAGTACAAGTTCTCTGTATGCTGTGAGAATCAAAATTTTTATGACTATTTCTGGGTATTCATCAGTGAATCAACGGGAACTAGGAGGTTGCTCGTCAATTCTGTACATTGACGGTTTCCTACGCTCTTCACTGCATATTTAAACAATGGAAGCACACTTTCTTAATGACCATATGAATGCTTAAAATTGTGTTTATTCAAGATCTATTGGATATTTTATATACTTGTCTATCTCCTTATGCTGCTGCAGCGTTTATTGTTACAGCTTTGAATGTTTTCTAAACACATTTATATTCTTCCAGGCTTTTCAGATCTGCTAAGCTTCGTCTGCCATAAATTCTACATCGAGTTGTACAAAATCACATTTAGAAAATGAACCAACCTTCCGGCGAACAAGAAGTAAGCAGACACACTATCAATTCCCGAGCTCCGATTAAACTGCTTCTAAAGGTAAAATTTCTATGTAGGATCAAGTTACGGTTGCAGGGTTCGACGTTGTGAGGTCACCTGATTCAAGTTACAGCAATGTGTACCCGGGAAATGAAGATGAAGAGAAAGAACCACCTTCACTACCCCCGCATTTACAGCATACCGTGCTAAACCATCCGACAAACGGAGTTCCACATGCACCACTCCCGGACCCACAAAATGTCACTCTAAATCATCTTTACATTGAGAACAGAGAAGCTCCTCGATCAGTGGTGGCTCTCGGGGTCACTCATCGCTTCCGTTCGAAATTCGTTACGGTGGTGCTCTATAAACCAGTACCAAGAAGAGGAAACAGCAGTAGGTGATTTGATTTGCATGAAGCACACACACTTGTCGGGTTGTGATGAACCTATGTTTTGGCTATAATAGGAGCAGTAATTACTCAAAATCCAATTTAGCAGAAAACGAAGGTTTATTACCTTAAAACTCCTGTAATGAATCCTATGGGTTTCGTACACATCAGTTTTTAAGGGTCAAGGTGCTCTATTAGAATTTATAAAAAAATATCCTATTTAGTGTATTCAATTATTATTTTTCTATAATAGTAGCTGTTAAGAATTTCAGTTATTTTTTTCTTGAAACAGCAGTGCTATCATTTTGAAATTCGATGAAGACCAAAAATATGGTTTGTTGTTTTCTTATTTTCTTCTTTTTCTCCTCAATCTACAAAGACAACTTAAATGTTATGTCCTAATTCCAATCAATCTTGGGCGTAAAACACTTTTAATATGATTAATACATTTTATTTATTGTAAAATCTATTATTTGATTGAATTACTATTTTGATAAATTATAGAATATATGGATTCAAGTCTTAGTAACTTGTTAAACATGAGAAGTTGTGATGGTGAGAAATAAATTATATATGATTGAATTTTAAATTATTCGTGGTCGTATATAATAATGAAATACGAATATCATTATTACGGATAGACCAGCATGTGGTATTTCTAATTTATGAAGTGATTAGTTAATCTTACAAATTAAAATGTAGAGACATTTAAATGGACGCGTTAATGTTTTGTTATGAGAACAAAATATTGGAGACTTGATAGAAATATTTCACATGGATAACTATTGAGTGATTAATCTCTAACATTCGTTGGTGAAATTGATCATTTGACTTGAGGTGATCATAGGGCTTTATATGTGGATAGATCGAACAGTCATGCTTTGGTGATATTAGATGTTGCTATGTAAATAGTCATTAATACGACTTCATTCGTACATGTCAACAATCGTATGAAGGTTGTGAATAATCAATAGAGAATATATCACTCTTAGATAGTAAGATATTATGATCAATATTTCATTCAGTAAAGTTGATAATAAAATCATTGGTCAATGTGTACTCATAAATCAAAAAGAGTTTTTGACTTACACTGACTTAACAGTGAGATGAAATATATTTTCAATAATTGAGATTGACACATATTAATATCTCGTAATTGATCGGATCATATTGATGAAAGGATTATAGTTTTTCGATAAATGAACATATTTGATTTTGTCATACTACGGACTTTTTTTGTCATATGTATTGTCCTAGAACATTGCTAGATATTAATATGAGACGAGGGATGTGAATTACCGATAATTCAAAAATGAGTATTTTAATTTATCGATTCTGATTAGATTAAAATAATAATTAACATCACTAAGCATCGTGATCGAAAACCTAATGGATCACACACAAACGGATAATTAAGAATGATATTACTAATTAATTGAATTACTTATTAATGGACTAAATTAATTAATTAAAATAATTAAACATTGGACCGGATTAAATTCAAGTGTCGGGTCAAGCCCATCGCGACTTCTATTAATAAATTGTTAGGATTTTAGAAGTCAGAACAACACTATTCATTATCTTGCAAGCATAACAAGAGGGATACCTTAATCCTCTCATTCTTGTTCTCGACGTGAATTTTTATTGGAAGCTGGACAATTAGATAGCTGTAAATTATATATTAGAATATTTTTTTAGCAGAATTAACTAAATGTATAATTCTTATCATATTTCTTTTTGTAAACACAAAGCGTATCCTTGGTGGATATATTGTTTCAATTCCGCTATGCATATTAAGTAAATTTCCGATAGACAAAAAGTAAGACAGGCGCCAAGAATTATGCGAAAAAAAAAAAAAAAAAAAAAAAAGCCAAACGACCAGAGAAGATTTTAGTAACCTAAAAGTATGGCAAAATTTTGCAAGTTTCGACATATCTAATCAGGATTATCAATGGATATACAGACGAGCATTTCACTTCTATAACATCGGATACTCCCCGTTCATCGCTCCAAATCAACAAGCATTAAAATTGATTTAGAATTACAGCTATGGGAGGTTAAAGTCTAGCAGCTTATCTTCCTACTGCCGCCATGGCTCCACATAAACTGCAGGATCGAGCTGAAGAACATTTTGTGCTGTAGCTCCTCTTCTTTGGAGGTCCCTATATTTACAATGTACACGGTAGAGGGAGAGAGGAATATTAAAAATATTTACCCTGCCGTGTATCTAGTTGCCACATTCTTTGCCATCATTCTTGCTTTTTCAACGCTGTCATCTGATAATCTCTTTAGAACAAATCCTTCACCGTTGCATTCATGTCATTGGGTCCTAAACCTGTTGAGCTAGTAAAAAATGATGGAAGAAGTAAATTCCTTCAGTGATCAACCATCGATAGCACAAGATGTAAAGAAGGATAAGCTTGTGCCTTCACCAGAACGTTGGTAAATTATATATTAGAATATTTTTTTAGCAGAATTAACTAAATGTATAATTCTTATCATATTTCTTTTTGTAAACACAAAGCGTATCCTTGGTGGATATATTGTTTCAATTCCGCTATGCATATTAAGTAAATTTTCGATAGACAAAAAGTAAGACAGGCGCCAAGAATTATGCGAAAAAAAAAAAAAAAAAAAAAAAAAAAAAAAAAAAAAAGACCAAACGACCAGAGAAGATTTTAGTAACCTAAAAGTATGGCAAAATTTTGCAAGTTTCGACATATCTAATCAGGATTATCAACGGATATACAGACGAGCATTTCACTTCTATAACATCGGATACTCCCCGTTCATCGCTCCAAATCAACAAGCATTAAAATTGATTTAGAATTACAGCTATGGGAGGTTAAAGTCTAGCAGCTTATCTTCCTACTGCCGCCATGGCTCCACATAAACTGCAGGATCGAGCTGAAGAACATTTTGTGCTGTAGCTCCTCTTCTTTGGAGGTCCCTATATTTACAATGTACACGGTAGAGGGAGAGAGGAATATTAAAAATATTTACCCTGCCGTGTATCTAGTTGCCACATTCTTTGCCATCATTCTTGCTTTTTCAACGCTGTCATCTGATAATCTCTTTAGAACAAATCCTTCACCGTTGCATTCATGTCATTGGGTCCTAAACCTGTTGAGCTAGTAAAAAATGATGGAAGAAGTAAATTCCTTCAGTGATCAACCATCGATAGCACAAGATGTAAAGAAGGATAAGCTTGTGCCTTCACCAGAACGTTGGTTGGAAAGGGCGAGTACCCGCTTCTTACTCCAATCCTCCCCACCGAATTAAAGTGAGGTAAGAAGAAGTCACTATCAATTGAATAAGCATATCAAACAGAATGAGGTGCAGCACTCTTTAACTAATCTTTTCCAGGATGCTGATCTCCCACTGAGGCTTCACCCAAACCTTCACAGTCTTCACAGGTTTCTGTTGGAACCTGCCAATTATTGAGTCTGAGTCGAAAGAAAAACAGCAAAACAGCACAGAATGTTCTTGGTTTTCCAGAAGTTTACATTGGAGATCTACACCTTCAGTTTTTGTCTCCCACAACACATAAACTCCTTAAGATAGCATGGAAATCTAGGACGGTCTAATACAAAGATATGACTGCTCAATCTCAATATACTCCTATAATTAAAAAGTTTGCAGTCAAAGGGATAAGCAAACAAGATAATTAGGCTCTAGATAGTCCAACATGAAAAGGTGATTACAACCTGTTATATAAAATAGATGACATGCAAAGTTCTTGTATTCCAGTATCAATTGTCATTTCATTAATCAATGTCTCTATGGTCTAGAATTGTTTCTCAAAAAAATGTATAGATTTCTTTAAGCTTCTACACATACCTCAGTTACATCAGAAGATTTTTTTCTTCTCCAAAGGATAGTAGCAGCAGCACCTATGAATGTGGCAGCAACTGCAACAGAGGCAACTGTTTCTTGTAGTGCAGACGATATTCTAAAAGTTTCTCTGGCTTTTCTTCTACATTGTTGGAAAACAGAGAATCAACATTTTTCTGTAAAGCATTATAATCTCTAAGCTTGAACCCTCTTGCAGCTTCACAAAGCAAAAGAAATATCAGTTCCAATAATATATCAATTCGATTTCATTGCATTTTTCAAATATGCCTTCATTATCCCTAATTTACGAGTACTAGGTTATTTTCCTTTTAAAGGTAACGAGTTGTAAGGATAGAAGTTCAATCGAGTAGTCAAGGCCCGAGCTAGAAAGTGCAAGTTTATAATCTTAGCAATTTTGAAAGCAAATATCCATGTAAGGTAAATGACATTCAAAAAACCAAATGGTGGATCGACATAAAAAGGTATAGACATAATTTTGTCCGTGATAAAAATATTAACAGTACAAACGAAAGAAAGGAAACGGAAAGTAACTGCATGTTCGCGATAAAAGTATTATCCTGTTCACTTTTTTCACTCAATTGCGGGTCGACCTAGTCCCTCTGCTATAGAAAAAAATTTTAGGGGCACCATTTTTCATATGCTAGACATAAGAGAGGTATGAGAATATCCTCATAATCAGCTAGTGAACATAGTTCTCACATTGAGATCAAATTACTATAAGTTCACGTGTTACTTTACGTTTTTCCGTTTCCGTTTCGTTCATTATTGCTCTCTGAATTAGATATTAGGTCATAATCTGTAACACATCGAGGGCCCAGAACTTGATATCCTAAATTGAAGGACAGCAACTCTGTGTATGCCTCTCCACCGGCATAGTCAAGCCTCATTAAGTACTCTCTTTTAATGGAAAGTTTTGCTTTGTCGATGCATCCCTTTTCCCAACAACTCCGAGTTATTATGTTCATGGCATAGTACTTACCAAGAACTAACTTCAGCCTCTATTCAAATTAAAACCCACCTCATCAAATCGTCCCTAACCACCAAATTCAGTGTCCCCTTTCTTAAAAGACAATAAATTTCTTGAAATCACAACCGCTTGATGTAATTTCTTCTTTAAATCATTGGACACCCCACTTTAAATAACACTTAAATTCACACTCCATGAGAAAAACCCGTCAAGAAAAGCAACTATATTATTTAATATTCATAAATGACTTGGAAAAAGTCATTAATAATAAATCTATACTAATCAACTACCTTTGGTAGAGTTCTTATTGCAATAAACAAAGAATTTATCACACCACCTGTTTTACATTTATGCTACTTTCAACTACTAAAACTACCACCACTGGTAAATTTTGGTGATACCAACAATATGGAAAATTAGCCTAAATTACTCCAAAGAAGGAAATTGAATATTTGGTCGAAGTCTTCAATTGAAGTCATCTTTTAAATTTAATCACAAATTTTGGTCTTGTACTCAAATTATCTCCATTTAAATACATTAATCTTACTTTTCGAAGGACGAGGAACTAATAGAATTCTACGAGATTTTTGAGACTAATTTTATTTGTCTAATTTGAACACGTTAAGTTAGATTGTATTGTACTATATAAGCTAAAAAAAAAAAGAAATTAAAATCTTGTTTATTATTCTATGTAATGTTATCTAATATTGTATACCAGACGCCACCTCCAATTGTGATGTTTGAACACAAACGAAAAATGTGTAATATTATGGTGACGACAGTGTAATTGTCTAAAATTGAAGCGACCAACGAAAAATTTATAAAATGTATACCTGAGTGCTCAAACATTTGGTCCCTCTTACCTGGCACTCCACAAAATATTACCAGTTGATGTAAATGCGGCGTCGCTTAGATTTAAAGCACATATAAAGGGAAATTTGAAATTTGATTTTAATTGCATTGGCAGAGTTTCACGGGCATTCTCACCTCCCACCAGGCACTATACTGTCAAAAGTGCACCCACCAAACCGACTCATGCTCATCTCCCGTGCTTTCCATTGTCAGTTGAATTAAACACAATTGATAAACATTAACGAAATTATAAGCACGGGACCCACTGTTACGTGAATTTTGGTTCACATAATTTGTGGATCTCTGACTTACGAAATAGCAACAATTTATGTCAAAAATATTCAATGAAAGAAATATCTTATCCAACTTATTAAACATGACACGTAGCATCTAAACTGTACTTTGAATATTATTCAATAGTCATTGAACTTAAAATTTTTCTAATGGGTCATTGTAGTTTTAAACTTGTTTTTCAACAGTCAATAAACGTTACACTTTCAAGGTTGTTTCCCAAGATTACTATAGTTTCAACATTGTTCCATCCATCCATCACTCCTAATTGTTCGAAAAATTAGAAGTTTGTTTGTCATGTCACCAAGATCGTTAATTTTTAAATAGAAGGGAGACGAACTGACGGATGGAAAACAATATCGATACTACAATGACTTCTAACTAAGAAATTTTTTAAAGTTTTAGGCCACGATTGGAAAAAAATGTCAAGAACTACAGTAACAACTAAAAAGTTTTAACCTCATAGGTAGCATATACTACATATACTACGCATTAATACAAAATAAATACAGTAGTGGATAAGTAATAATTTCAAATATCAAAGTACTCTTTGTCTTCAATTAGCTGTGCTCCTCGCGAGTCTATTTAAATCCCCAATTCACCTCTTCTTTTCCTATGCCATATAAACCTCTCTTCCCACACTACACAAACATCACATACAAAGAAACCTAAATATGTTTCGAACATTTATTTGTGTTCTTCTTTTGTTGTCTCCAATATATGAAACAATGGCTAGGCATCATCCAATATTGCCTAGTGCACCCTCTACTGCATTGCCATTAGGGTCTAAGACTCGTGACTTTGTCACTTTAAAGCCATTGTTGAGTCACAAGCAAAGAGTTTTCCATAAGAAGGAAGTGAAGAATTGCAAGCCAAAAGGGTCTGGCCACTCGTCCGCCCCTAGTCGTTATGTGAATTATCACACTCATGGCTCGATGAAGTGCTTTTCAGGGTAAGGATTCTCAGCAATGTTAGAAATGCATTTGGGATTAAATATTAATGTAACATGGCCTAGCCAGCTTGTGAGAGAACTAGCTGATTTTGCGTGTGTGGTGAGAATACATCGTTTTTGGCTAGAAACTTATTCTAGATATAAGTGTTCTTGTGGAGCGTACAAGAAAATGAAGATTGATTGTCTAACAAGTTTCACAATTTTGGTTGTAATATCAGCTGCTGTTATCTGTCTAGATTGTATATTGTCATGATGTTGAAGATTAAATTTAAATATTTATATATCGTTTTTTGAACATATTGGGCTTTTGATCACAACTCATTTGTCAATAGTGTAGAAGTCCGCAGTCGACACCACCTATTTTTCAAAAATATATATAAAAAAAAATGGACATTAATTCTGCATCCAAACCTTGGTGGAGAAATTGATCAACATTAGACAATTTTAACTTGTAATGGAGAAAATATTCATTGCAGTAGTAACTGCTGAACAGTGCCATAAATCTAGCATGTACTATGTAGCACTCCAGATATATTACCGATTTTCATCTTTTCGTCTCGATAAAATATGTCAAAACACAAAACGAGAGATGGACTAGAAGTGATGAATGTCAAGGGCACAGAAGGGACATATATTGCACTAGCAAGGTTAACGACGTATGTCATGCCAATGACACGAAAGTAGTGTAATAGATATTAGTAGATCCAGTTTGAAATATGCATAAACGCAATTGAAAGGTTGTTATCGTGAATAATACAAAGGTGTACAGATCGACTACTTCAAATCTACTATCCTCATCTCCTCATTCCCTTGATCAGTTTTGACACATTACTATAGTAGTCGAGTGTCGAGATTTGAGTGACATACAATTCAACATTAAAATAATAATAATAATAATAAAATAGGACAACTATACTACCCTCAAATTTTGACATTTCAGTTTAAAATTATAATAATGTGTCTAAATTTGATTGAGTAGACAATCAAGGAGAGAGGTCGAATAGCCCCAAAAAATTAAAAAAATAAACCTAAGACAATGGAAATGAATCTCTTATTCATTTTCAATGCATTGGACAACGAATGAAGGACCCACTATCGCCTAAACAAAAAGATCACATCAACACTAGTTTGTGTAGACAAGTTTCATAACATATGCAATAGATAGTTACTGAATATAACCTACAATAAATAGATATCGAGTGTAATGCATCCAACTCATTTAACAATTCAACTATCCAAGTGCTGGAAGGAGGGAAGATGTTTCAAATAAACGAGCAATAATGAGACATTGAAGTTGTGCAGATTTATTACAACACGTGCCAGTTCACACGGATTTATCGTGATAAATTATTACCATAAATGTACATAATGACCGGAAGAAATTGGTAGTCCGTGAATATTAGAACCTTCATAATTAATAACGGTAAAGCAATACGCGTATATACGTTCTTTCATCTCAAAAGTTGTTTGGAAAATTAACTCTATTTTTCTAAATTGAAAAATACAAAATCCCATTGTTAGGCAAAAACGGTGACTTGGAAAATAACATTTAAGCTTACCCAAACATGTCACCTGCAAGATAATATTCAGTTCATGTTTCTGAAACGAAAAAAAGGCACCACATACCCAAAAATAAAAAGCACTAGAACACCATATTGTACGGCCAGGAAGAAGTAATAAGTTAATCGAGTAATCATACAAATTCCAGAATCTCAGAAGTACGATAACTTCAAGGAACATAAGCAAGCAAGCAAACGATCACCCGTTCCTGTTTACTACAAATGTATGAAGGAGAGATTATGAGAAAGTAATGCTGGAAATCTAACTATATAAATCATCTTCATCAGCTCCACCAGCAGAAGCTGCAAAGGGATCAGCTGCAGAAACCCCAGCTCCTGATTCCGCAAACCGGAATTCAGTTCCAAATCCCCGAGATTGCTGTAAGGTCTGAGCAAAAGCCTGGTATTTGCGTATATCAGCATCACTCACACTTCTACGTGCATACTTCATGGACTCCTCAAAATGGGCTGGCTTGATCTCCGCCACTTCATCATCAACGTCCTCATCCATTGAATCAGGATTATCATTTCTCCTCCTCTCCCTTTCTATATCCTGAAGTAAGGAGAATTTGTTGTGAGTTGTCAAAGACATCTACCACCCATAATAAAAATAAAATTGTATATTCAAATAAAAGAATCAACAGCGTCGAAGATAATGAGGCTGACAAGGTTACAGATCATGGGTAAGCTTTGACTTGATCTTAAGTACGCAATCTGGATAGAACAGGTGTCTAGAGAACATCTAAAGTTCCACCAAGCAGAAACCAGAAATGCTAGTGTATGGTAGCTGTTAAAATCAATAGTAACTTGCAAAATATTAATGGTTTGTTTGGGAGCTTAATCAAAATCTGTTTTTGTTACCTAATACAAGGGCCTAGCTGCCAAAAAAGAAAATGTGGTCATCTTCTAGAAATAAGAACATGACTATGTACAAAAACAGAGAAGACGTACATATAATTGATGATAATGAAAGATTTTTCGTCAAATGTAATGGAAACTAACAGAAGAAACATATTGTAAGAAAACAATACAACACAGGATAGCCTAGAATTCTGGATTCTAATCAAGTTGAAATATCCAGATTAGCAATGGGCATAAAAGAATAACAAAATGTATGTACATCTGAGAGCAACACTGAGAAAAGAAAACATAATTACTTCATGTAGCCCCCATTTGGCTCCCATTATTTCAAATTTTAACGGGTGGAATAGTATTTTTTTGGAGAATATGTGGTTGAAAATAAGAAAAAGTTTTCAATTTACGCGTAATACTATTTTATGGAAGATTGTGTTGTCGAAAATAGGAGAGAGAAAAATAAAAATTAATTTGATGGGGGCCAAACAGGGGCATAATATCTTCATGTTACCAGCAATTTTAATGACACATCATTATTATTATCAAATTTTATGGTGTCAGGTTACATGGACATAGATTGATAATCTTATGGATCACAGAAATTAAAAGACAAGGTAAGCCAAGAAGTGAGCAAAAGCTTACTTTCTCAATGTAAGGGTTCATGGATTGGTGCGCGCGCATGCGAAACATAACATGCAGAAGACAAACCTGAGTAGCAATAGAGTCAAGCTCATCAAAGAAGAGAACACATGGTGCAGATTGTCTAGCCTTGTCAAAGATTTCACGAACATTAGCTTCACTCTCTCCAAACCACATGGTCAGCAATTCAGGGCCTTTAACACTAATGAAATTTGCTTGACATTCATTTGCAATTGCCTTCGCCAGTAGGGTTTTACCACATCCAGGAGGACCATAGAAAAGAACACCTTTTGAAGGTGACATACCAAATTTCTCGAACTTCTCTGGATGTTCCACCGGATATTGAACGGTCTACAAGAAAACAGAAGGTTAGCAATGTTCAACTCCAGAAAATGCACAACAAAAATATGGTACAGCTCAAATCAAACTTGATGGTTTCAATCACCTCTTGAAGCTCCCTCTTGACATTTTCAAGCCCTCCAATATCTTCCCAGGAGACATTGGGCACTTCAACAACCTGCTCATCAAGTAAGAAAATTAGAGAGTATAAATTACGAAATTAAGATTCATATCCCATAACAGCAAGTAGGTATGTTACGCAGAAAGTCACTCACAGTTTCGCGCAAAGCAGAAGGATTGCTTATTCCAAGAGCAGTCTGGAAGTGCTCATTTGTAACAGCCATAGAGTTTAGTATCTCAGCATCTATTGAATCATCTTCTAAATCAATGACATCCATTTTCTCTCTAATGCACTGGAGTGCAGCTTCGGTGCAGAGAGCTGCAAGGTCAGCACCAACATAACCATGGGTGTCTTTTGCAACTCTTTCTAAATCAACCTGCATAATAATGATATTTGTAAATTTTTCATTTTGTTCCCATGAAAAAAATTTTTGATTTTAAAAGTAAAATGACAGCCCTACATCATCAGAAAGTTTCATGTTCTTAGTGTGTATACGAAGAACTTCAAGGCGTCCAACTTCATCAGGAACACCAATGTCTATTTCCCTGTCAAACCTACCAAACCTTCTAAGAGCTGGATCAATGCTGTTGGGACGATTAGTTGCCCCCATAACAATGACATGTGCACGAGATTTCAGTCCATCCATGAGAGTCAAGAGTTGAGAAACAATCCTCCTTTCAACTTCACCATGCGTCTTCTCTCGCTTCGGTGCTATTGAATCAATTTCATCAATAAAAATAATTGATGGTGCATTCTTCTCAGCCTCCTCAAATGCCTTCCTAAGATTGCTTTCACTCTCTCCAGCCAATTTGGACATAATTTCGGGCCCATTAATCAAGAAGAAGAAAGCACCTGTTTCATTTGCAACAGCTCTAGCAATTAAGGTCTTTCCAGAGCCTGGAGGTCCATAAAGCAAAATTCCTTTCGGAGGTTTCACGCCAATGGATTTGAAAAGCTGAGGATGCCTCAGGGGCAACTCCACCAATTCACGAATCTGAGCCATTTGTTTCCTGACGCCACCCACATCATCATAGCCAACCTCATCTAACCTATCCTCATCCTCCCTCCTCACAGGCTCCCCTTCACAGAAGATCTCAGTATCGGGAGCAACAACACAATATTCCCCAGGATCAGTTTCAATGACTTTAAATTCCACACTTCTCATCCCTCCTCTCACTAGAAAATGGTCGCCTTTCCTCAAAGGGCGATATGCCTCCAGAAAGTAAGCTGCAGACGGAATATTATCAGTTAACCAAGACTGTGCAACACAAACTACAGAAAGTGGACGAACAGGATGAAACAACATTGAATCAGCAAACAGATACAAATTTTTAACTCATCAAAAAGAGTAATCCATGCATTTAACGGCAGTAAACAAGCACTAGATAATATTGAATCAACCAACTCTCATCTATTATAGCTAATCATCACAAGCTACCAAGCAATTTAATCATGTTCAAGGACTTACGTTTCAGGTATGCGTCAAACAGATCCCCAGTGAGACCTTCTATTGTGTCATCCAGGGGCAGGACATGGACACGCTTTCCGTATTTGACATCTGGGCACTGGTGCACAGATACTACATCTCCAAGACGAACCCTCAAGTTCGTCCTCACAACCTTGTTCATTCTAATCTTCGGCTCCTCGCAGGTCTCATCAGCAAGGGCAATGCACACTGTATCCTTCCTTTTCTTGCCCTGGAAAAATTGTAGCAGAATACCACGAATATGAGTTCACCAAAATATGAAGGTGCTGTCTTGATAGGTAAAGCGGAACATGTCACATAACTGTAACTAGTTATACTTATTAGTCAATATAATATGCCAAGAAACCATAAACACGTATTCTGTAGCGAGACCCTGTTAACTTCTTCATACATTTAACCCCTACATAAGCACAAAATGTTTTATTTACGCATCCTACATATGATTGAATAAAAGAAAGAGTTAAATGTGACTATAACTGGAACACAAAGAAAACTGATCTTAAAACCTCGGTAACCTTAATACACGGGTTGTATCTCGCAGAAATAACATGGGGTTTAGCAAAAACTAAATTCAGTGCCAAACGGACAAATACCCAGCTGGCAATAATCCCAAAGCAAGGTCAAGTATTGTCATTCTCTACATAATAATGGATATGATGGCTTAGATAGTCTTAATCATAGAAATTCAGATTCCCTCAAACACAACTCACAATTTACAAATCCTTTCTATCGAGACATGTTTCAAGTGGTATTAACTAAATTGAAGTACCACAGCAAGTTAATTCAAGCCTACCAAATTTTAAGTTGACCTAAGCCAAAACCTAATGCGCAAGTATATTCCAATACCAGATTTCTATCATACGATAACCAATAACCAAGCAACTATTCTTAACTAGAAGCTTCCAATATTTTCCAGAAACCCTAAAAATCCCCACTAAAAAATTTTAAAAACCAGCAAAAGAAATAAACCTTAATCAGAATAGTGTCTCCGCGGAAAAGCTGGAGCTTCTCCATGGTAGCGGGGTGGAGCGAGACGACGGAGTTGTCATCGTTGACAGACTCATCGACGATCAGCCGATTCGCAGCCTTCTTCCTCTCCAAAATAGCCGTCGAGAAGTCCTTCTTCCCGCCTTTCCTGTTAAAGAAGGAAAAAAACGTCAAAATTCCGGCTATTATTTCGACATCACAAAATTATCGGCGATTCATTGTAGAAGATTTAATAGGAGTTCAAAAATTGATACTTACGAGTCGGAAGACTCAGCCTGGTGACTCATCTGGTGGATAATTGCAGAGGTTGAAATTGGATTGTACGAAGAGGTTTCCTTCGTTGGGAGGACGAGCGGATATTAATAGATCTAGACTGGATGTATTTACGTATTTATACGGCGATGAGAAAGTATAACTTGATTGAAATACTAACCTTACTACCTGTTTGGCTCGACCTATAAAACTTATAAGAAAATTAGTAGATTTCAAAATAAATAAATATATATATTTATTTTTTTTATTTTTTTTTTTGTTTCTAGTTAAAAATAATAACAAGTGAATTTTATTTTTATAAAACGTCATCAAAGTAATATACTTAAATATATAAATTGAAAATAAATAATTTTTCCCGTTATGATCTACTAAATTGATATAAGGCCCTGTTTGAGCCCCATTTTTACCTCATTAAGGTGAAAAATATGACCGTTATCCATCACATTAAGTCACTATTTTTGAATTTCTATCTCTTGTGTGGGGCTCATAACGACTCTATTTTTCATTCTCATTCTACAAATAATGTGGCTAAAACGGGCTCTAAGTAAAATAATAAATACAAAATATACTTAAATATATTTGGAAATAAAATTTGCATAAAGTAAACTATCATCTGATTTAAGGGTATGATGATATTCCTACTTTTGTTCGACTTAGGAATATATTTTTCAAAATAAAGTTAAATCGAACTATGTTAATAACAAAATTCTCAAAATTAAACTTTTCATTAAAAATTAATTAAAATTTTTATCACCTGTCTCTTTATAAAACTTTATAATTAGTAAAGGTTCTACGTTTACATCACTTCAAATATTATAGAAGTTTGACGATCTATCATTGTTGATAGTTTATATATATATATATATATAGAAAACACAGGAAATAATGGAAAATTCGTCTGAAAGTTTTTAATTAACTTTCTATTTATACTTCTTACCCCATTAACGATAAAATTTATTATTTAGCAATTGTCGCCCTCAGAGAATAATCCAGTGGTACAAAGGATAGGAGTAAGATTATCTCACGTCTTGCTAGCAGTCACAGTGTGAAGTTCAATTCCTGAAACATGGAATTGGACTCTTTGTAGGCGCAGTATACAGATAGCTTTTGTTTTCTAGTTTGTTGGGACATATTCCCCAATTTACCTTCCTCATAAACCTCTAAGGGTGGGACGGTAGAGGCCCTCAAGGTTGAGGTTTAACCTATTATTTAGCAATTGTCAGAAAATAATTTATCTACTTGAATTGACTAACGGTGATTGTTGATTAATTATCAACGGTGATTATTTATTAAGAGCCCGTTTGAGCTACAGTATAATGAGAATGAGAAATATAGTCGTTATGGACCCCACACCAGAGATAGAAATTCAAAAATGGTGGCTTAATGTGATGAATAAGGATCATATTTTTCATTTTAATGAGATAAAAATAGGGTTCAAACAGGGGCTAATATTTATCAACGGTGATTATTTATTAATATTTATCAACGGTGATTATTGATTAACAGTGAATAATTTATCAACGGTGATTTTGATTTTCAATTATTGGAAAAGATCACTTGAATTGATAATGACAGAATGCCACCGAACAAAGATAATTCCCTGAACTTTCGATCTATTTCCTAATTTGAATTTAGCATTTTAACATAAAAGATGTGAAAAATGAAAGTACAAATGTACCTTTTTATGTTCTTTGCTTATGGTTTTGGTGAAAGAATTTAGGGTGTATTTAATTGTTAATATTTTTCATGGAAAATGTGTTTTTTTTTTTTTATCAAAATTTCTACCTTTGTGATGTTTGGTTGTGATTTTTTTCATGGAAAATATTTTCATATTTTTTGTCACGTGGCCATATTTTCTTCACAATCAATGAAAATATTTTCTTTAATGGAGTATAATTTTATTTTTCAAGAAGTTCTCTCTCTCTCTCTCTCTCTCTCTCTCATATATATCCACTCTCTCTTATCTATCTACCAATAAAGAACAAATAAGTATAATATTTTCTAGATTGAAAATTAAATCAATCAAACACATTTAATTGACAGTTTCCATGCACCTCGAATTTATTTTCTTTAAATGCAAATTACATGGTTGTAATCAAACGCACCATAAATGATTTTTGAATAGTTTAATGATTAACTCTAAAAGAAATTTTATGACACTAATCTCAAATTATTTCAAGGCTCTAACCCCATCCCACTACTAGTTTAACCTACAATTACCCTACAAATGGGGAGAAGATGGAATAAGAGGGAGACTCAAAGCACAATTAAAAATCTTTAACCAAAAACTCTACCACCAAATTATTCTTGTTGCTTGGATATGATATTAATTAACAAAAGTAAATATTGCTATCTAGTACCAATACACGTGAAACTAAAAATTGTTAACTGTTATACGTATAAATTTTGAATATTGCTATCTAACACCAATACATGTGAAATTAAAAATCTTTAGTCATTATACGTCTGAAATTTGAATATTGCTATCTAGCACCAATATATGTGGTCACACTTAATATATTCTATTAAATGAATTGTGTAACATTATATTTAAGTGAATCTATCATTTAAATGTCAAACAATTTTCATTTAAATTGATGTTTGATATCAATAGTACTGAATAACATTAAGAATAAAATTTTGGACAACATTTTACACAACTCTTCTCATTAGTATAGAGGAAAAAGTGCCTCGAAGTTCAGTAAAAATTACCAAGTTCAAGGATTGGTATTAAGCATTTGTGCATTATGTTTTGAGGAAATTACATGCACCACCTAAATTATATTCACAATCTCAAACATACTATTCAATTTTTTCTATTCCATAATTACTGGTTTTGAAGTAAAACTAAAAAAATAAAAAATCACACCGAATGCCACTTTTTCCGCTGAAGAAATTGGAAAATTCCCAATCAGTCAATTTGATTTATCAACGTTCTTTGCTTATGGTTTTGGTGAAAGAATTTAGGGTGTATTTAATTGTCAATATTTTTCATGGAAAATGTGTTTTTTTTAATCAAAATTTCTACCTTTGTGCTGTTTGGTTGTGATTTTTTTCATGGAAAATATTTTCATATTTTTTGTCACATGACCATATTTTCTTCAAAATCAATGAAAATATTTTCTTTAATGGAGTATAATTTTATTTTTCAAGAAATTCACTCTCTCTCTCTGTCTCTCTCTCTCTCATATATTAACTCTCTCTTATCTACCTACCAATAAAGAACAAACAAGTATAATATTTTCTAGATTGAAAATTAAATCAATCAAACACATTTAATTAACAATTTCCATGCACCTCGAATTTATTTTCTTTAAATGCAAATTACATGGTTGTAATCAAACGCACCCTAAATGATTTTTGAATAGTTTAACGATTAACTCTAAAAGAAATTTTATGACACTAATCTCAAATTATTTCAAGGCTCTAACCCCATCCCACAACTAGTTTAACCTACAATTACCCTACAAATGGGGAGAAGATGGAATAAGAGGGAGACTCAAAGCACAATTAAAAATCTTTAACCAAAAACTCTACCACCAAATTCTTCTTGTTGCTTGAATATGATATTACTTAACAAAAGTAAATATTGCTATCTAGTACCAATACACATGAAACTAAAAATTGTTAACTATTATACGTATAAAATTTGAATATTGCTATCTAACACCAATACATGTGAAATTAAAAATCTTTAATCATTATACGTCTGAAATTTGAATATTGCTATCTAGCACCAATATATGTGGTCACACTTAATATATTCTATTAAATGAATTGTGTAACATTATATTTAAGTGAATCTATCATTTAAATGTCAAGCAATTTTCATTTAAATTCATGTTTGATATCAATAGTACTGAATAACATTAAGAATAAAATTTTGGACAACATTTCACATAACTCTTCTCATTAGTATAGAGGAAAAAGTGCCTCGAAGTTCAGTAAAAATTACCAAGTTCAAGGATTGGTATTGAGCATTTGTGCATTATGTTTTGAGGAAATTACATGCACCACCTAAATTATATTCACAATCTCAAACATACTATTCAATTTTTTCTATTCCATAATTACTGGTTTTGAATTAAAAGTAAAAAAATAAAAAATCACACCGAATGCCACTTTTTCCGCTGAAGAAATTGGAAAATTCCCAATCAGTCAATTTGATTTATCAAATTACATTGCTTTCTTTATTCTTTATGGAACAATGTGCAAATTTACAGAAATTTAATGGTTTACTTGTTGAAGAAATCATCTAACAGTTCTTCATTATTTTGTAAAATGACATAGAGAAATTGGCTATCTCACAAGATCATATAATGGTTGATGTAGCTATAAATCAAGTCGGGCAATAGCTTTTTCTAAGAGACGAGTTACCTAAGAATGAAACTAACAAGAGTCCATGTAGTCGGTCATATGTATCTGTAGATCGAGGATACAATGAAGAAAAATCATGCTAATATGCTATGGTACTGAGCCATCCCAATTATCAAGATCATCACTGAGATTTGGGATGATTACATCAATCCCATACTCAAACTTGTTACGGTAATAAATCCAAATGACACCATGTTTAAATGATTCAATTTTTAATACTTATCATCCAATTCGGTTTGAGGTTTTGTCTACCAATATAATAATGCCATTACTTGTTACATCTAATATTACATGTATTATTATTGTAGCCACGACTATGGTGTTTTTCTAATAATGTGTTTACAGAGTTCAAATTTCTTAATGAAATTCTCACAAAAACCAATCAAATAAATGCAGTACATATAATCAAAAAATTACTCTACATTTGCACTACCTTACAGAATGAAATATTACATAAATATATTGTGGAAAAAAAAAGACTATCTGGTATAAACTATGGAAAACAAATGGCATCCATGAATTTGACTGCCTCATTCGTCGGTGGCAATCCAGATGATTAGCAATTACTTTATATTTACTACATCACAGATTGAAAAATTGCATAGATTTGTGAAAATGCAGGATACCGTTAAAAACCAGGAATCCATAATACTAGATGATCACAATCAATATTTCTTGGAATCCATTCAGTGCAGATGAAAACTTGCAATTGATCTTGCTTGCATTATGGTGTAGCAATTGGTTACCCATGTAATTTTC